CAGAAACACAGCATTGGACATAAAGTCTCAATAATCTGCATGTTTTTTACATGGAGAGCCTGCCTGGGGCTCTAACTCAGTCCAGAATGACTCTGGGTGCCCAGCAGTGTTGACTCATGGGTAGTGTTCTCTGGAATAGACAGCATGAGGTCACATGGAGCTCCACCCTAGATCTGCTTTCTAATCAAGGCATCTTTTACAGCACATATGTCGGAAGTGGAGGAGGGGGGATGGGGACACGTCTATTCCAATTGCTCACCTTGCTACAACCCTTATCTTTTGCCAAACTGGGGCTTTCTTTGTTGGAAAAATGCTAACTTTACGTTTATGAACATAAAACTGATCTGGAATAGTTAGGCCTTGGTTGTGATCTCCAATCCATGATTCATTTAGGGATTTTCAGCTTTCTGGACATGTAGCTGGATATCAGCCTCTTAATTCGTTCAACTCAATCAGAAAACATTTATTGTGTATATGATGGAGGTGTTTTTCTAGGAGCTCTTTATACAAAGACGCAAAGATGTGACTCTTAAACACAAATGCTTATAGTGCTTTTCAAGTTGATACCTAGGAGTGGAATTGCTAGCTCATATGGTAAATCCATTTTCAATACTTTGTTTTTCAAGGGGACTGGACCCAGTCCCATTCCAACCAACAGTATTCAAAAGTCCTTGTTCTTCACACCCTCACCAACTCAAATGCTTATTCTCTGGTCTTGTTGATATGGACTATTCTCATGGGTGTGAGATATCTTTTCATGGTTTTGATCTGCATTTACCTGACAATCAATGATGATGAGCAATTTTTAAGGACCTATTGGTCATCTGTATGTCTTCTCAGGAGAGGTGCCTGTTTAGCTCTTCTGCCCTTTCTAGCAACTCATCATTTGGATATCATCTTAACTCAATCCCCATTTATTACTGAGGTCAGTTTAACATTCAGGGACATGGGAACATTCAGGAAATACTCATGTGTTTCTAGGTGTTCTAGGTATTCCAGCTAGGCAAGAAAGACTGAAAAAAAAAAATGATACTTCCTCTAAGAAGATTGAGGGAACATTCTTGGAATATCTAGAGGCATTTTTGATAATTTAGGAATTCTAGTGATTGATTACTTGAAGAAAGCATAGACATAAATACTGCTTCAAAATAATTACCAGGTGGACAATTGCCTAGATCAAGGTAACCAACTTGGTTCTCTCCTTGAATAAATATAATTTTCCCTGAGGTAGGTGGGCTGCAGGCTTATAGAGAAGAGCAGAATATACTCTAAAAAATGCTTCAAAAAACTTATTCACCAGTAGGGGTAAGCAGACTCCATGTAACATTTGCTGATAAAGAAGTATTTTGAGCTTTCATTGATTACCAAATTAAGAAATCAATACTGTTGCTTTACAAAAGGGACCACCACAGAGTGGTTTGTCTTACTTAATAAGAGCATTGGGAAATAATTATCCAGGTCTTCATCAATGGTAATACAGCTTAACCCAGCAAATCATTAAGAATTCTTCCCTTCAAGCAGTTTTCACTATCTGCAAACACTGTCTGTTGTATGAACTAACACAGCAGGGGGTCTCAGCACTGCCTCCTTGGAGGAGAATTCAGTCTTCTTGAGTGGGAAGATAATGAAAAAGGAAGCTGAGGGAAATCACTTCTTGAAGCGATTCTGCCAATAAAGCAATCCAGGCTCAAAAGGGGGAGAGTGTAATGTCTAACTGACCTACCCACACAAGGGGGGATGCGCTCACAGATATCATTTTTAAAATTCTCTCTCTCAATGGGCAATTTTGTGACAGAAAACTGTGCTCTGGCTTGGAACTACAATTAAATAATAGGAAGTTTTGAAATTGTGTGGTGGTGGATTTGTATGAGAACATTTTTTCTGCAGCTTCATTTTCTGGTTTTTCCCTGCTCAATTCCAAAAAGACACTTTCTAGTCCTATTCAAAAAAAATTTCTATTTTTCTATTCAAAAAAATTGAAGATGGTTACAAAAGAATGGTGGTGTTGACTGACAGTGTCTCTGTGGCTACCAGCTGCACATTGTCACAACAGTTACCATCTTTTTGTGGTATAATCATGTATCAGGGTATATAATCTGAATCAGGCTAAGAGCAGCAGAAGGTGAATTTCAGAGGTACCCAGAAAAAATCCTTTCTCTCCAGATGTATCCCTCACTAGTGTACAGGAATGCCTTAAATTCACTATTGGAAATGTACTGTTTGGACTACCGTTGTTTATTCTTTTTAGAATTCTTACTTTAAAAAGGTAGAAATGAGTCCAAAGAAAGACAAATTATTAGCTCTATAAGAGCACCTAAGCTCTCTTTTCATTATGATACCCAGCTCATAACAAGGCCCTCTGAAGAAGGGTTCCTAGAAAGGCTGTTTGGAGGTCATTGTATAGACAGATTGCTCCTCCTCCCAGTTTACCGTGGCTTGGATCTGGTCCAGTCAGAGCCTGAAGAGTCAGGAGACCTTGGAATTTTGGCTACCTGTCTAGCCCACCCCCTCATTCATCTAAAGGCTTTTGTCCCCTTGCATGCAAACATTTGCCACAACATGATCAGTTGCCTCAGATCCAGCATGTTATCCACATCATGGCTCAATTATTTTTTCTCTAGTGCAACTTCATTCTGTCAGTCATCTTCAAACCTTTGTAAAGGTCTTCTTAGCTTGAGTCACATGAACATATTTTGACTTGTGATTATGTTTATTTCCTAGTAACATTGTACCTGTACTGGGCTTTAAGTTTCCTGAGGCCAGTGCTGCATTGTATATTGTGTTAGTGGTCTCGCTAACCCCCATCCTAGTCCAGGCCACACAGAGGTGAATTATATAGAATGGCTCCTGATGAACTGTGTGGGAAACCATGGAGCTACATGGCAATTGGGAGGGTCACAGCGTTGATTTTAGATGTTTCTGTTCCCTGACTTTCCCTATAATTTTAGGGGCATAATAGTTAACATTGAATCTGTTAGTTTTTTTGGGTACTTCACTTCCCACCATTTTTTTCATTTTTATCCTTTCAGCAATTTTTTGAGTTATTACTCTTATTTTATAGGTAGGCTAGTAAATGCTGGAGTTGACATTTAAACGCAAGTTATTTTAATAACAAAATTTATACCCTTTTCAGAATAGTCTAATGGTTTTGGTTTATGTATACTATGGTGACAAAGACCATATTAACATTTGTGACTTTATAGTGATCTGGATCAAACAAATGAAACAATAATCCGGTCCTTCCTTAATTAAGAAGAGTCTTCCTCAGTTGTGAGTAAGTACAAGGTTTTAATAGGCCATATTTCTTCCCCTCCAAAAATAAAATCTCTTTTGAGGAGTATACATGTAATAAAAGTATAGATATATTAAGAATAGCTTAATAAATATATTAAGTATAGCTGTTTGCCTGGCATAGTTTGTTAATTATTTTGGACTATATACTTGGCATCGAGTGTTTTTTCCTACACTAAGAAACAAAGGTCAGAAAGGCATGTATATATATGAGTGTGTGTGCGCATGTGTGTGTTTGTGTGTTATCCCTTACTAGTGGTAATGTTGGCTATACTATAAATATTTATAAAAGGACGGGCACTCATCTGGCGAAATTATAGTAAAGAATGGCATATATATTTTTAATTCTCTCTCTTAAATAGAAAATTTCATTTCCCCTGATTCAAATACAGAAATAGTTTCAAAATTAACGATATGTTTTGAGATGTGCAATATTTTCTATCCCTCTGAAGGAGTCAAAGGGTGTTTATGAAAAACCAATTACCCTAATTACTCATAATATGAGTGTGTGCTCTGAAGAAAGAAAGAAATTTGAAACAGCTCATTTACAACACCACAGAATTATATGTAGAATTTTAAGTGCCATGAATCTGGGATATAGAAATAAGTCTATTTCAATGCAAATAGAGTCAGTGTACGTGGTTTGTGTCATATAAAGTCTACATAAGTGCAGTATGACTTCCTTCAATGCTAGCACTTTCATTGTAGTAATTTGATAGGAGACAGAGTATATGACTTAGAATTATGAACTTTTATTACTGTAACATTAAATTGTTAGAAAAAATACTGATCCGACATATAGAAATCATATGGGCTGGCTGAAAATGCACATATTAAAGACCTGCATCAGTTCTAGATCTTGGGCAAAGTACTCATGGAAGTTTCCATGTAAACAGTTTTTCTGGGGCTTCGGAAATTAGACGTTTCAGTTAGATGGGTTTTTTATTTATTTTTTTAGTTGTTTCCCATCTCCTTCTCTAAAATCCTACTTGTTGTAAGTGATGTAAGAGTTTAAGCAATATGTTCATTTTTCCTTTAACAAAAAGTTACATGACAATTATCAGCTTTGTATTTAGTTTAAGTTGTATGTTATATTATTGGGTGGGGGGGATAATAATTATTTGGCTTCTCTGCATTCATTATTCTCCTTGTACGCACATTCTTTGTGATATGTTTACAGCACTTGTCTTGTGGGTGGGACATATTTCTCTGTGCCTTGACTCCCTGGCCCTGTGAGTTACGTTGATGATGGAACATGATGAAGCACAAGTTGGGTGGGCTTGTGCAACTAAGTTGGCATTCTCTTACATCTCTGCTGTCACTCTGAGAATAAGCATGGGTGAGGCCCCTGATTCCACATGGAGGATAAAGGACAATCTGGGGCATAGCCACCACCCGTGAACCCATCTTTGATCTGATCACTCAAACTAATCGTTAGATTTGTAAAACATAATAAACAATTGCTATTTTAATTCACAGAATTTTAGAATAGTTTATTTTCTGTTCCAGTGGCTACCTGATATAATCCTGAACAATTTTTACCACCAGAGACATAAAGAAAAGGTCTGTCTACAAACCTAGATGATCAAATACCCATATAAATGAACACTTACACTGCTAATATCATCCACAGATGAAGTTTTTAACCCCCAAGACATAAAATCATAAAAAGAAATATAGCATTTTAGCAAAGCACTGGTTGACCTTACCTGTATGGAAACACTGCTGTAAGAACCGCCAATGACCCCTGCAATGAGCAGTGGAATATTCTCTTGAATGGCATAGGATCCATCAGGACACATATACTCAGCTTCATCCACTTTAGTCAAAGATGCCCTGACAAATTCCAGTGATTGCTCTAATGCATAAGTATCCCTGGAGCACGTATCCAAAATGTGAACACCCAGTTTTACTCCTGGTAGCAAATAATTGTCTTTGTTGATTTCATCAATAGCAAATAACATGGCTTCCAGGCGCTGGATGCCTCTGTCTTCATTTATTCGCCCACATTCTTCTGTTCCAGTGCCTTTTTCATTAATAGGAAATAGGCCCCCTAAAACAAGGTCACCTTCTATTTTAATCTCTCGCCTCAAAAAGTTATGGTCCCCTAAACAGAGTAAAAATCCTTTTGAAAACAAAGCTAAAGTAAGAACTTGGCGTCTTGTCAACATCTTCATGAATCCTGTTTCTGTACCTCCTGGAGAAATAAGTGGATGGAGCCAATGTTGCCTGTTAGTCCGCCTCTCTCATCTCCACTCTGGGTCTTTGGCCTGTCCCAAATAAGGGAGGAACAGACTAACAGAGTCTGTCACCAAATTCCTAAAGAGATAAAAATTATATGAACAAAATGTTAAAACAACAGTGATTCATTGTTGGACTGCATCAGAGACCTTTGATAGGATAGCGATGACCATTAACTACACACACCCTACCCACTGTGCCAGGAGCTCACCCATGAGTGTTCTTGCTCAGCCCCCTCAACACACTGGATTGTTGATCTTAGTGGTCCTGTCTCCCAGAAATGGACACTGATGACTAAAGAGGTACAGTGACCTGCAAAGTATACTTAGAATGGAGGGAGGGGCAGGTGCTGGTTTTTCTAATGCCAGGTTAAGTACTTTCATTTCCTTTGCTATTAGCAGGGAACCAACTAGGATAGGGGCCTTTTTCCTTTTTCCACCTACATTTATAAGTCACCCCTTTGAATCCATTTATCTCTTTCCACATGTCATCAAAAATTATAACTCATCGTTTTTTGCATTCCTGTCTCCGCACCCCAGTCCTCTCTTCATAGATGAGTTTGTCAAAAGAATTGGCTGCAGTATTTCCCCACTTCTCATCAAACATGTTTGAAGTCTGCTGCAATCAAGTTTCCCCCACCCCACTCAAACAAAATGGCTCTGTAGAGACTTCTTCTGATCTACTTACTGCTTGCTATGCTTGCCTACTCTCTTTACCCATAGATGAGTGAACATAAATATTTTCAGAACCAGGCAAGAGGGATGATGGCATGAACTGCTGGAGCCTTGTCCAGCAGGTGTATTTGCATCCCTCTGTGTGTGTGGCGAGTGCACCCGGCTGCTCCCTCCTCATGTGCATACTTACATTTTGTTGGGGTTTAAGAGAGACAGCTTCCCTGGCTATTTCTTTACTCAGGATTTTTGAAACCCATACCTCCTGAGGCTCTCCGCTAACTTAGTGTATGTTTGCAATCTGACTTGTGTCCCATTGAAGGAAATACACTAATGTCTGATCTTACTTGCTGTTCAGAGAGAGACCAGTTCCTGTCATTCTACATTGGTTTCCCCTTGCCTATGAGTCAAAGAACTGACTTCTTTGAATTATATTCTTGGATTGCACAGTCTTGTCCCTGGCTAACACTCAAGTCTTCCTGTTCGTGGTGCCTTCAGTCTCTAACCTTAGGTGTCAGTCATATTGAGCTATCCTCACTACATGGGACACCAGTGGTGTTGATTGACCTCTGGCCTCCACTCAGGTTGTTCCTTCTCCATTAATCTACTTGGTAAGTAACCTGCTTATCATTTAAGACTCAAGAGTCAGCCCCAAGTAACATCATAAATTCTTTCCCATCTTCCCTCCCTAGTCCAGTCATTTACTTCCTGCTTTATATTCCTGCTATAGCTAGTTCAAGAAATGCTTGCTATTGCTATCATAATTCATACTTGTTTCCTTGTCAGCTACTTGGGAATAAATGAAATGTCACCACATTTAGGATTTTTAAGGTATGAAGAAAAAAATGAAACTCAGCAACAAAAAAGCAGAGACAGGAACTATCCAGTGTGAGTTTCAATGTTTTTGACATTTCTCTGATCTCATGTTAGCAGTGCCCTTTAAGCCCAGCTTTCCACATGCGTTCTGTTCCTTTCATGTGGAGCGAGTGATGCGTTGTTTTCTTGAGACACAATAGTCTGCTTGGTTTTGTTTTATTTCTTTAGGTGTGATACTTGGCAATGATGGCTCAGAGTTAACTCAGTAAACCTCTCTGGGGAATCTGCCACAGAGCATGGAAAAATCTAATAATAATATTTTTTTAAAGTTGATACTACTGTAGAATTTTTTTTTGTTTCATATCAATTTCTCATCTGTCTTTGATCTTTATGAGCAATTCCCTTTGAAGCAAAATTGCCATGGAAGGCAAAAGACACTATGATCATTATCACTAATGATAAGCAGAAATTGCTTATAAAATAATTGTTTTATGTGCCTAGTAAAAGAGAATAGTTAATTAAAAGAAGGTCATCAACAGTTTCACCATATATCTATGAAAAAAATGTAGATAGCTCTTGAAAATGATGAAAGTTTGACTACTCAAAGAATGAAGATGACTTATAGTTTATGGAAAATTTAATTCCCCTTTGGAAAATACGCTAAGTCAAAGAAGCCTTCAAATGAAGCATCACTGTACAGGGCCTCCAGGTGGCCTAGTGGTAAGGTCTTAGCACTATCACCACAGTGGCTTGTGTTCCATCCCTGGCCAGGAAGCTAACTACATATGGCACAGCAAAATCCCCTTAGCAGTGTATTTCAGTAAATCTGCCTGTTCTGCTCCCCTCTCTGCACCTATGACCTGCACTCCAGTTCTTCCATGCACACACAAAAAATCATTTTACATTAAAAGCAATAGTTTATATTAACCTACTTGTCTTGATAGTAGGGACCTTGTTTATTTATCATTGGGTATCTAGGCCTGGCATTGCATTTGCAACCTAGAAGATGTCATTTTAAAAAAAGATGTTTTATTTCATTACCTGCCAAATTATCCCAAGTGTTCCTACCCTGTTATTCTCTTTGATAATAGGACTCCCAATAGGTAAAACTATAGGAATTCCTTTTTTTTTTATATTCAGGAGAAAATGCTGCCTTTGTTGTAGAAGTTGCAGCTGATTTGGGTCACTTTGAGGCCTGGAAAGATGTGACCCTTATATGTAGAGATATTGACCTACATTTACATCCTTAGTTTAAGTCCAGAAAATACGAAATCAGGAACATGGGTATTATCCTATTTCAAAATTTCAGAAATGTAGTCACTCATCAAACATGTATTGAATGCCTACAATGTTTGTACTAGTCAAGAATTGGAAACCCAGGATATAAACTTCAGTTGTAAATAATTTGTTTCCAACAAATGAACATTATCACTATTATCAAATCACATCCTAAACTATTAGACATTTTAATATATATATATATGTAGAAATCATTTGAAAGTACTAATTTCTGTTTGTACCAATTATATCCATCGTTTGTAAGGGTTTTTTTTTTTTTTTTAACATGGTGTAATTGTTATTAAGTGCTTGACTCAAAAAGTAATCCATTACATACTATATTTATTATATACATATAAAAAGTAGGCATACAGATCTTAAAAACAAGCTGATTGACTATGATGTCATTAAAATATTTTCCTTTAGGTCCTCAAACAGGAATTATGTTACTCTTTAAGTAACATTTAATATAGTCTTTGAGAATTACAAATTAAAATTCAATTACATTAATGTTTAAATATGCTTTCTTAATACTTTCTTATTTACCTTTTCTTTAAAGTGGAATTTATAATGACTAAGACTGTGGGCCACGCATAATTTTAAAATATTTAGCATTATTTAAAAACAAGCCCTAAGAATGAAAGAAGAGGAAATGAAAATTTAACTTTGAAAAAAAAAAAAGACAAACATGCTTAATTCAGCGCAACTGTTTATCTCTGTGTAACAGTTTATGGGATTGTGGGAAAGGGCACCAACCACTTCTTTTCAGGTTCCTTTCCTTATAAATCAGCCAGCAGAGCACTCCCCAGATAAACAGGCTCCCTGCTGCAGCCTCATTCACATGCAGCCAGGGAACTGCAGCTCTGCAGTCAAAGTTCTCCATTCAGGGATGACGAGTGATGTATCAACTATAAGCAGGCATGTGTAACTCTCTCCATAGGCAACCTGCTCACCAATGTTTTATTAATAGAATCTAAGATGTTTGTTCTGACTACAACCCCTGGAATACTTGCACAGGAAACATTTCTATACTCTGCATATGCTAATACATAGTTTACTTCCTCTCATGTCTTGCCCAGGGTTTTGGTGTTGAAAATGAATTTCAGTTAGACTCAATGAGTTAATAGTTTACCAGAACAGAAAAAACCGTGCTCACCTTTTCCAAAAAATAAAACCTTAAGTTGCTGAAGGAGTTGTCTATATCCATGGCCTCTGGGGGAAATGAGGGTTAGTGCCAGCATATACAGTTTGATGATAAATTTGATTATAAGTTTTTTCATCTGCTGAAATTGTAGACAACAAAATGACATGACATTTGTTTTTAGGTTGCCATTTTCTTTGTTTTTTAAGATTTATGTATTTATGCATACAGAACTGGGGTACAGGCCCGACGTGCAGGGGCAGTCAGAGGATTCACCAGAAACTGAGTGGGGAACAGAACAGGCCCACTGAGGAAATACACTGCTTAGGGGAGCAGCAGGCAGGTCAGGAGAGATCTGCCTCTCCATGTGGATCTCCTGGGGCAGGAGGAATTCGAACTCATTTGGAAGTCGGTTTAGCTTCTTAGTGCTGTGCTTTAACCTGCTGCGCCACCTGGGAGAGACAAATTCTAACTTCTTTAGTAGGGAACAAAGTTACTTTTTCCAGAAGGTTTAAGAAGCCATTGTGAGACGATGCCTTTTAAAACTCAGCCATAGGAAATGGAGGTTAAAATTTCTCCTCCTTGTAGCCTTCCACATTACTCTAGCTGAGAGGAGTTTCCTCTATTTGCTGAATTTCCATAGAATTTGTGCTATATTTATCATGATTAGCATGCCTTGTTTTATATGTACAGTTTTTTTTTTAAAGATTTATTTATTTGTGCATACAGAGCTGAGGTACAGGCCAGAGGCTCAGGGGCAGTGAGAGGCTTCACCAGAGACAGAGTGGGGAGCAGAACAGGCAGATCCACAAAGAACACTGCTGAGGGGAGCAGCAGGCGAGTCAGGAGAGGTCTGCCATGCCATGTGGTCACCTCTGGGGCAGGTGGCAATCGAACTCATGGGGAAGTAGTTTAAGCTTCTTAGTGCAGTGCTTTAACTCACTGTGCCACCAGGGAGGGCCTATATGTATAGTTTTTTAAAATTGAAATTGCTCTAGATTCTAAGCTACTGGATGGGAGGGACAATGCCTTTGATGTTGTATTTTCCACAGGGTCTCATATAGAGTTATCAAATGTTAGTGAAACAAATTCCATGTAGCCTTTATGTTTTTGAGAGATTTATCTGGACACTGGAAAAATAATTCAGAAATTCCACTCAGACAATGAAAAAC